TAGATATAATATAAATGTTATATCAGAATGTTTATTTGATTTAAATAATTTTCAAACTTTTTACATTTTTATTTTCAGCTTATTTATATAATAAATGCACAACCATGTATGTATATATAAATATAATTCAGTATATATATAAATACAATTCAGAAGCCCTGATTTTTAATGCAGTTTCAGGTCTTTGAACCTCGCTGTATTTATAGAAAATAGAGGGGAAACATCCAACATAGTGATGTAATGTTAAAACATTTAGCATTGTTAATTTAGTGAGTTGCATTTAGTTGTAGTATGCATATTTATACTATAGTTAATACAGTACTTTGCCAATTTTCTGTATTAATGCAATTGCTACATAAATTAGTTGTATTGTTTTTTTATATAAGTTTGATTTTGATTTGATTTAAATTATTGTCTATAATTATCTATATACTTTGCTTTAAATAACATTTTTCAATCCAAGATTTTCAATACAGCCAATGTATTTATGGAAAATTTTAAAAGTGTTTAAAACATTTACTGTATCGCTAGTAATGCATTTCCATCTTTGCTGTTTTACTCATGAATCAAGTGCCATGAATATTAGTCAGTTTCATGATTGCTCCATTAAATTTTGGTTGTGTAGCTTGTTATACTGAGCGACAGAACTAATTAAGGTGTATTAATCATCTCAGAAGCTGAAATCTTCAGAGAAAATATTGGAGTCTCCAAGCGAACAGCCACCCAAGCCTCTTGTGGAGCAGGTGTGTTTGTTCGTTAAAGTGTATGTTTGGGCGAAACAAAACTCCATTTGCAACACATTTAACTTCCTTAGTCATCATTAATACATTAATTTTGAGTTCCTCTTGACTTTAATTGAGTTACATGCAAGTTAGATGAGATTTTTGGATGAGATCTAAACAGCTGCCAAAACACGGAGGCTCTGCCTAGACAAAACATGGCAGACGTTAGTAAACAGTCTAACCGCTGTGTCTGTCTGTCTGTGTTCCTGCGGACTCGTCCTTGTTCTGGATTGTCCCCAGATCACCAGTCTTCCAAAAATCCAGAGGAATTCCACCAAGCCCTCAGCAGGTTCTCTGGAGGTCACGTCCTCAGGATCATCCGTGCCAGTGTCCGGCACCAGCCCTGACTTCGAGTACTGCAGCAAAGGTGCAACACGCTCAGTGTCATAAATTGTGTTTAAAAGACTTTACATTGTTACTTTAATTTTCATGTTTTTATGGACTTTTTTTTTTTGTTGCGCTGCAATCTGTGGAGCCCAAATGCATGTTTAATCAAGGCTGAAATGAAAACAACACAGGGCTGTCATGTGGATTTGCCTCAGCCTCTTTGAACACTTTGAACAACACTGACAGTTGTTGTTTTTTCAAAGAAGAATTTATTTTCTTTTCACTCGGAGTGTTTATAAAAACACTGAACATGAAGGACTTGCATCATCTTTATCTCTCTGTGTGTGTTTCAGACCCTGCTACGTGTCCCATAGTTCCAGGACAACAGACGGTTATTGAGATTTCTAAAGGCCGGTCTGGACTGGGTCTCAGTATAGTTGGCGGCAAAGATACTCAGCTGGTACGATACCAGAAGTAAATGTGTTTATGTGTGTGTGTGTCCGCGCTTTGCTTTATTTTGTAAATTTTTGTTATATGTTTTAGTTTTTGTTTGTTTTTCGTTATTATTATTTTTCTGTATTGTTTTTTGTTTTATTTGTATTTTTGTTTTTGTTTTTCCTGTTTTGTGTTTTATCTTTTGTATTTGTTTGAATTTTGCTATTTTTTGTGGGGGGTGGGTGTATTTTCTCTGTTTTGTTTTTTGTTTTGCTTTTGTTTTGTCTTGTATTTGTTATGATTTTTGTTTTGTTTTTTCTGTTTAGTATTTTGTCTTGTATTTGTTTTAATTTTTGCTACATTTTTATTTATTTCTTTTTTTGTTTGTTTTGTTTTGTATTTTTCTGTTTTGTTTGTTTTTTGTCTTTTAGTTTTGTCTTGTGTATTTGTTGTGTTTTTTCTGTTTAGTTTTTGTCTTTTTATTGTTTTTTTTATCCGTTTTGTTTTTCTGTTTAGTTTTGTCTTTTGCATTTATTTTTTTTCCAGTTTGCTAACAAACACCTAACCACTGAAAACAGAAATCATTAATAAATAAATTATTTCTGTTTTCAGTGGTTAAGTGTTTGTTAGCAAACAGGCTGAAATCACATACAGCACCTTTGATTGAAACACATGCATCAAGAGACCGTTTTAATGACAGTTTCAGTCAATAACACATTTATTGTTGTTGATTGCTTATTTTTAACTAGATTTGGTAGCGTACACACGCAGGATGCTTTCTTATGTTCAAAAATAGCTAGATAAAATGACAGGGATCATTCTTTCCAGTGGGCCGAAGGGCTGCATCAGAACAGGCACGTCACAGCAGGAGCTTTTTGTCTGCCCTGACTTTCTCTGCCGGGCTGCAGAGACTAACATCGCCTCAGGTTTTTATCTGTATACTGCCACCTCACCATCATAATTCTGCAACGCTCCGGCTCTGTGGGCTAGTTTAGCTGTTAAAGGCTTCCATGAGTCATCAAAACCAACCCTCGGGCTCCACGGGTTTTCAGCAGAAAAATGTCTCAGTGTGTGTTTTTATATAAAAGGATTTTAAAGGTGAAGGGGAACAAAAATTGCATACCCTCATGTCGCTCCAAATCAGTATGACGTACTTTCTTCTGTGGAACACAGAAGGAGATATTTTAGGTTGCTCTCTTCCATTCAGTTACAAAAAATAGTGACTAAAGCTTTCAAGTTTCAATAAAGGATGCTAATAAAAGTATCATTGAAGTGATCTGTATGGCACATTCACTATATTAATCTTGCTATAGTCTTCTGAATTCCTGAATACAACAGCTTTTCAAGGAACTTTTGTTCAAGGAACAAATTTTTGTTATCAAAGTTATTATTCAGTGATAATCTTTTACTACAGTGAGCTCTTAACCGAATCGAGTCAGTGAGTTGAACTCGAGAACCTGATCAGTTCATTTCATAAACAAATCATTCAGTTTTTGTGAACTGGGAGATTCATTAAAGAGATCTGACTCAAAAGAATTATTGATTCACAAAATAGAAAATGTCAAGGTTTTTAGTGCATAATGAGCAGTGTTGATATTGTTAACTAAAATTGAAACCATTAAAAATAGTTTTCAGTAATTAAAATACAGCTGACAAAATAAAATAAATATTACATGAAAAACTTTATAGAGAATGTTGCCTTAGCAACTATATAAACTTTACGTTAAAGTAATAAAGCACAAAAAATTACTGAAGTATTAAAATTACTAAAATTAAAACTTAAATACAAATAAATAGCAATGTAGAAATAGAAAACAAAAATGTAAAAAAAAATTACGAGCACTAACAAAATTTACTAAACTATTATTAAACTAAAATGAAAAAAAGCGAATTCAAAATATTACTTTTCAATTGTTATTAATAATTCAAAAGTACTATTATAGTATGTAAATAATTCTACTTTAACACTGATAACTTTCAACTTTTGTTTTTTTTTTCACACAAGTCTATGGTAGGACTTAAGAAGACTTAAAATATGGCTAAAGAGTCACTTTTGTGTTACTTTTGTCTCCTTTATAAAGCTTTGAATCTTCCATTTCAAGCTTCATTGTAATTTTGTCTGTTTCATACGAATTTGAAACAACGTAAGGGTGAGTAAATGGTGACAGAATAAACATTTTTAGGTGAGCTATCCTTTAAGAAACATGTGATAGGAATTTGTAGTTTCTTTCTTTATTTTTTTTTGCCATATTCCTCCTCTTCACACACATTTCTCATCTTTTCAGGATGCCATAGTGATTCATGAAGTGTACGAGGAGGGGGCGGCGGCGCGGGACGGTCGGCTCTGGGCCGGAGATCAGATTCTCGAGGTTTGTTTGTGTTTGTGTGTGTGTGTGTGAGAGAGAGAGAGAGAGAGAGAGAGAGAGAGAGAGAGAGAGAGAGAGTGTGTTGCAAGGTTGTAGAGCAGGATGCATCTGTAATGTCTCTGACAGCTGGTCTGCCTTGAGCAAAATGGAAATGTGATGTTGGTTTGAGGCTCACTATTATTGTGAATAATAAGAATAGAGAGATGTGACTAGGAGCGTTTACAATCATAAGATCTGAGCAGTGCTTCTCTGTCTTTCATTTAGACGATAGCTCCATCTTCTGGACATCGAGTAGCGTGAGCATTAGCTCTTGCTATGTGCCGAATGTGCTGTATTTATTCATATTATGAATTAGCTTTTATTTTTAGATTTTCAGTTTTCTTTTTAATTTTAGTTTACTTTTTAGTAATTGTGTGTCATTTATTATTATTATCATATTATTCTATTTATTCTTATTTTTTAATAGTAATTCTGAATAGCTTTAATTTTGCGTAATTGTTTTGTTGGTTAATGTGTATGGAAACTGGGTCCTCTGGCGCCCCCTGCAGGTGAATGGAGTGGATCTGCACAGCGTGGCTCACGAAGACGCAATAGCTGCTCTACGGCAAACACCAGCCGAAGTGCGGTTGACGGTCCTGCGAGATGAGGCCCAATACAGGGACGAGGAGAACCTCGACATGTTCCGCATTGAACTTCAGAAGAGAACCGGACGCGGGCTGGGCCTGAGCATCGTTGGGAAGAGGTGAGTGCAAACTTGTTTTCCTTATGAGGAGAAGAGAAAAAAATTATTTTTAAATAAAATGATTTAAAAAATGCACATTACAATAGTAATCATTTTAAAATAATATAAAATATAAAGCACAATACAATATCATTTTAAAATAGTATCTTAATAAAATGCACAGTACAGTAAATATAAATAAAATGAAGAGTACAGTAATTTTGAAAAAATAATATAATGAAATGCACAGTACAATAATAATTAAATGTGTAATACGGTATTTTTTAAATAAATAAAACAATGCATAATACTATAATAATTTTAACCCTTTAAGCCCTGGGGGCATTTTTGCCTCACTGAAATTGATGTTTTTTCTGAGTGACATAACTCATAGCTCGAAGACTGTAGCAAGGAGAGTCAAAAGGTTGGTATCGTTTGATAGAAAACTTTCTGTACTTTCAGTGGAAAAAAAATTATTTCATTTGGACATTCTCCTGCTGAGAAATAGCTGATAAAAATGTAGGAAAATTTGAGTGCTCAAGAGAAATTTTTCATATCTGTCTTATTTGACATTCAATATCTCAGGACAGAAATAAGGTAGGAGGAAAATTATTTTTTTTTTGATGATGTTCCACAGCATGTTAGCTGTATCTGTTTCAAATTTTGTGGTGATAGCATAAAGTATCCAAAAGTTACAGTATTTCGTAACAAAACAGGCCTTTTTGTTTAGCTCTTCACTCTCTGAAGGAATTTTAAAAACTGTTGTTTTCTGAGTGCCATACACAAAAATAATGACTCATAACTCCAAGACCGTAGCAAGGAAAGTCAAAAGGTAGGTATCGTCTGATAGAAATGTTTCTATATATTTATGGGGGGAAAAAATCTTTGCATTTGAATATTTTCGTGCTGAGAAATAGGTGATAAAATGTACGAAAAATTAGTGTGGTCAAGGGAAATTTTTCATATAATTCTTATTTGACGTTCAATATCTCATGAAAGATATATGGTAGGAGAAAAATTCCCCAACATGTGTGCTGTATGTGAATTAAATTTTGTGGTGATATCATGAAGTAATCAAAAGTTACAGCATTTGGAACCAAGGTAGCCCTTCTCTTAGCCCTTAACAGTTTTGAAATTGTTGTTTTGAATTTGAAGTAATGCCTCACTCAAGTTTAGTCAAAGCCCCAAAAAATTATACTTGTTTTATTCTACTCGATGAGACCTTTCAATTGACATGCGACACATGACTATCTGAGCTGTATGATGTTTCTGACATATTAGAGTACATGGCACAAAAACATTTTTCATAGATTATGAAAACATTTTTTTCTATTTATCCGTAAATAACTCAGCACTACTTAGGAGTTAATCAAAGTGGCCACATGCATTGTAAAGGTCAGACTCCAAGCTTTCAAATGGCACCTATTTGTCCCACCGGCGGTAAGGTCAGGGTTAAGCCCAATTTATACTTCTGCGTCGAACCTACGCCGTAGCTTACGCATAGACGCACACTCTACGCCGTAAGCCTGACGTGCACCTCTCTAAAAATCTAACAGCGCGTCAATTCTACGCAGACCGCAAGTGCTGTGATTGGTCTGCAAGAACCCCTCCCTCCATATGTACTTGAGTTTTGTGTGTGTTTATGTGCACTTTAATATATTTTAATGTTACACCTTCTTATATAAAATAAAACAAAGCAAAGAACAAGTGTCTTATCATTTATTATACTACATAGCATTATACATCAGTAGTTGTCTGCAACAAACAATGTTGATGTGCCGTGGTACAAGTCCTTGTGCAGACTGAAAGAATGCCATCATCTCCTGTTCCGTTGTTGTCTCCTTTTTGTAGTTTTAAATAATGATTTAATGATTTGATATTTATTTGCCACCGTCACGGCTATAATGCTTCTCCGACGAGCCGCTTCTTCTTCGGCGTTTGCCGTGGTACTGCGGGTTACACCAGCAACATGCCCGTGGACACTGCAGACTAGCGGTTTGCATGTGTACTGCTCGTTGATGCGGACAACGATGCAGAAGTATAAATGAAAGCTGACGCATAGCCTACGGCATAAAGGCTACGGCGTAGGTCCTAAGATTCTAAGCTTTAAAATGATATCTAATTTATGTTATTCTATTTAATGGTTGCTGAGTAATATGATTATGATTGTTTTTTTGGGGTGCCGGCCCGCCAGCGGGCCGCTTAGGGCTTAAATAGTTAAAATACAATAAAATATATTTATTTTAAAATAATAAAAATTCACAGTTTAATATTTTTAAATAATACATGTATTAATTTAGCAGACACTTTTATTCAAAGCAACTTACATTTTCAAAATGCACAGTACAGTTATCCAAAGCGACTTATAAATAAAATACACAGTACAATGATCCTTTTGAAATAAACTAATAGAATGAAATGCACAATACACTAATTTAAAATAAGATTAAATGTACAATACAATAGCAATCATTTAAAAAAAATAATAGAACAAAATAATACTATAGTAGTTTTATACAGTAATAGTTTTGAAATTAAATAATAATAAATGATGCTCAATACTATAATAATTTTAAAATAAAACAATAAAATAAAATGCACAATATAATAATCATTTTAAAATAAAATAATTAAATTAAATGCATAATTGAAGAATATTTAAAAAAAAAATTAAAAATTAAATAAAATGAACTGCACAATACAATAGTTGTTTGTGCAGTTCAATATGGCATTTCCTACATTTCCTCTTTCTTGTTTTCTCTCTCTTCAGAAATGGTAAGGGTGTGTTCATCTCAGATGTGGTGAAGGGCGGAGTGGCTGATCTGGACGGCAGGCTGATGCAGGGAGATCAGATCCTGTCTGTGGATGAAGAGGACATGAGACAGGCCTCACAGGAGACTGTTGCCGCCATTCTCAAGGTGAGCTCCACCTGAATCCTAAAAGCAGGCTACAAGAGCAGATTTATTTGCAGCGGCAGTTGCGGGATACTGCCACTAGGTGTCGCTGTTTGATTGTGTATTTAGTGGCTGTTGAGGTCTGTGGTATTTATAAACAATTTCGGATTTCTTATTTAAACATTTTGTTTTGTCTACAACCACATTGATGAATTCAAAGAGATTTTATCCAAAGAATTCTGCAAAGTTTATTCCTATTAAACAGAGCTTGAAGCATTCATGGGGGTCCAAAGTGTTATGTAGGACCACATAATTAATTTCAAGTGACAAAAACACTGAATTTCATGTCTTATATAATGGTCAGGATAGACACCATATTCAATTTTATGCAAAATAAAAAAGGGCTATGATCGATAGAAATATGTCAGCATACAGGTTTGTACCGTCAAATTAAATGTGGCATCTAACCCACCCGTTTTATTTGTTTACATGTAGATCAGATGCACATTCACTCTATTAACGGTTTTGGCCTCCTGTAATATTTTTTTATTTAAACAGTACCATCAGATCAGTTTATCACAGTGTTTGCTAAGGTCAGCACAGATATCAGCATATCAGCAATCGCCAAAAATGTGCTCGAAATTGATATTAAACAATATCCAGCCCAACCCTTCTGTAAGTTTTAAGTCATTCAAATTCAAGTAACGTCCAACACTTTGACAAGGCCCTTTGACATGATTCACATTAGTGTTCCCCAGAATTTGTTTGAATTGAGTAATAACATTGTGTTACAAATGTTATTACAAAGAGTTCATGGAATCATATGTTATATATAATACCAAAATTGCAGAATAAATCTTGTCAGTTTTGTCATGTTGTTTAAGATGTTTTTTTTTTTAGCTTAAACATGATCATATGTATGTATGTGTATATATGTATATACATATAATACACTATTATATATTATACATATTACAATATATTATACACATTATATAGTATAATTAATTGAAAATTGTCCATACATGGCGCCCTCTGCAGCTCTTTGGGAGTCATGTGAAAAGGCCTTAATGATAATGTTCTGAACAGGGCAAAACGAATCGATTGAATGAATGATTCAGTGATCAAATCCGTGATTTGCCGCCACCTGCTGGCGGTTTCAGTTTCATTTTTAGGTATAATTGCAGTTATTTAAATCATTTAATATTTCTGTATTCAAAATTTTATTTAAAACATTAATCTCCACATGAATTTATGAATTTAATTGCACTCATGCCACCTCTGAGCCTCATTGAATGTCTGAAAATGTACCTACAAGTCACTTTTGTGTTCTTCTGTGCCACCTCTGTAGTACAAATTAATTTTTCATTAATACTAATTTCATGATTGGTAACTTATTTGTCTTATTCTACTTCTTATTATATTGTTTTAAATAGAAATTTTAAAAAGCTTATAAACATACATTTTTGAATTTTACAGATGAAAATGATGCCATTGCAAAGGTAAAAAGAAAATGCCCCTGTAAATCACTTCACCTCATATTAGGAAGGCTAATTTTTGATTATTGATCAGAAGGTGCTCCTTAATTTTTTTTTAATTAGGAGGACAAGCACTCTTGATTACAAGAAGAAAAACACTGCTCTTAAACTGGGTGTGTGACAGGTATGGCTGAGGAATGGGGTTTGGCCGAGGAAAAATTTTCAGTCAAAAGATTTAATTTTTTGCTTTAACCCCTGACTACTACAACAATTATTACAACTTTTGTTTAAAAGAATAATCACACAATACGCTATTTCTTCCATGTTTTAATTTTAATGGTAAAACCATTAAATAAAGAGTTTGCCAAAAAATAAAGAGTTTAACTCTTTAAAATAAAGAGTTTACTGTGGGAGTACTACACTCAACCAACACCAGGGAAGGCAGTTTTTGTCAGAGCCCTTGTTATTCTTAATTTTGACATTAATTTTCATTTTTACACCAGACATATATATCGGGTCAAAATATCGGTTATCGGTCTACTTGATCTGTAATAATCGGTATCAGCATCGGCCTTGAAAAACACATATCGGTCGACCCCTAGTTGTGGCATCAGGTCTTTGCATGTGTGTAAAGGTTCTCGAAAGTATGTGAAAGTGTATTTGAGAGGAAATTAGTAAGAAGACACAGTCCACAGTGCCAAACCTGTGTGTGCTGTGATTCTGCAGTGCGCCAGGGGCAAGGTGCTGTTGGAGCTGGGCCGACTGAAGGCTGCCTCCTGGATCTCTTCCAGACGCACCTCCCAGGGAAGTCAGGTGTGTAGCCTGTGCCCGACACCTCATTGGGCTTCCCTGCCACGTCTTAAAAACTCGAAGTCCAGCATGCTGAGCTCTAACCCAATCAATAGTGCATGTTAGCGGACAGGCAAACCAGCAGTGTACTGCTGTGGGCATCTGTGTGTGTTACTCATCCATATTGCCTGAGAAAGCAAAGGGAGTGTGTGTTTACGTGTCCGCATGCACTCACTTGTCACTAACCGAGACGTATGCATGTGTGATGGCATGAGTATGTTGTATATATGTGTGGAATAGCACCTTCAGCTAACTCTTTCTACTTTAGATGAGCCACGTGAGCGCCAACAGCAGCACCCCAGCCCCCATGCCCCCTGCTGTGGCCCCACCCCCCTCTCAAACCCTCAACAACAACAGCCAAAACATCACTGAGACCAACAGCAAAAGCACAGGTACTTCTCGCACCACATCAGCACTTAAGTAGCAGGAAACAGCCATAAAATGGCTATAAATCAGCCTTAAAACAACACATTTCTTATCTGTCGACAGCTAGTGGCAGTGTTTAGAAAGTGCCTTAGAATAAAGTTGTGGTCATATTTGCTGTTGTTCGTCAAATGTTCTTGCCCGAAATCCAGTCGTTTCATTAGGAATTCGGGAGTTTCGTGTCAGGGCGAAAGATTTCCCCAAGCAGGGTTCAGGTTCTCACGCAAATTTGCCACGTTGACCATCAGCAATCTGCCTGGTTTGAAAGTGACTTTTTTGTTAGCTGTCCTTAATACATCACAAAGGACAATGGACCTTTTTTGCCTAAGAAATTTAGCAAAAGTTATAGCACAAGTCGGCTTTCAGCAACCACATTTATTCCCATCGAGCAAGGATTATCTCATGGATCGCTCGTTTAAACCAGTGGTATACAAATGGCCAATATAATGTACATGAATATGTAATACAACTGGAACTGGAACAGGTTGGCAAAGCAAGCATAATTGATGCTGATATATATAGTTACACATTCGACTCATTAAACTCAGCTGTGTATGCCACCTTTTACAATCACTTGATTTGTTTTCCTAAATTCTGCCAACTTTAGGTTATATTTCTAATGTTAAATCCATGCGGATTCAGGTTCAGGCATATTAAAATATTCCTATATATTTGAATCATTTTCTAGTTTCAATCTAGAGTGGACCATCCATCAGCTACCACAGTTGTGTTCCTCAGTAAAACGTTCAGGAATTGGATTAAAACATTTTAAACTCTTAAAGGGTTGTAATTCGAAAGTTGTTGTCTGACTTTTTATCCCTCCAGGGACAGAGCCAGGTGTTCGGACAGTGGAGATCACACGGGTAAGACCATTTACCTCCCTACACCTCTGTGTGTGCTCAGTGGTTTGGCTATCGTGCTCAATAGTTACAGTTTTACTGCACCCTTGTCTCGCTCTCTTAGGGTCCCACTGATGCTTTGGGTGTGAGTATAGCGGGTGGTAAGGGCAGTCCGCTGGGCGACATCCCCATTTTCATCGCCATGATCCAGGCCAACGGCATGGCTGCCAGGACACATCGCCTCAAAGTACAGCATCCTTACCTTTACCATTCCTTTCTATTGCTCATTTTCCACTATCTCCTGTGTAAATCAGGCAGAGAGTTATTGATTAAGCATCATACAGTGGTTTGGGTGTGAAGGGCACTGCTGGGGATTGGGTTTGTATCAGTGTGAATGAATTTCAAGCAATTTTTCCTTTAATTTACCTCTCTTAGGTAGGTGACAGGATTGTGAGCATCAACTCTCAGTCTCTGGATGGCTTGACTCATGGGGATGTCGTAAATATGCTGAAGAATGCGTACTGCACCATCGTCCTCCAGGTACACGTTCAACTCAATAACACTCTTTGTTCATTAAATTGGCCTGCTTTCGGATGTTTACTATTCAATGTATGTTTACCACTCAAAAAAGCAACCAATTTCTGGCTAAAGGCCAGTTTACACCAAGGACGTTGACTATAATGATAACAATAAACATATAGTTTTAAAAATCTTTCTATTATATCAACCAAAACGATAGCGGTTCAAAGAAACAATATTGTTGGAATCATTTTCAGAGCGATTTTTGTACGTTGGTGTGAATTCTAATATAGTTACCGTTAAAGTTATCTTTATAGTTATCGTTCTTGATGTGAACGGGCCTTAAGTACCTTTGGGCCAAAACATACTTTCGCAAGTATGCAAACATGACTGTTCTGACAAAAGCATGGTCCGTTGTTTGTACATAAAGTGCATTCTTGCGTTATTGTTGCGTAACTTATTTTAATTAACTTGCTCAGCAAGATTTTCTTCAAATTATTGCTCTGACATGACAGCAATTGTCCTTATAGAGAAAGCTTACTGTAGCTACAATGCCCCCTTGTGTTATGTTGTGAATTCTTCGTAACAGAGCGATTTGTGAAACCTAGCTTTATTAGCTAGAAGTGTTTGCGTTTACGTGCTGGCATAGAGTACATTGCTTATTGTAATTCTGCTAAACAGTTTTGGATGAACTAGTTTAACGAAGTGGCAAGGCTGCGAAGCATGCAACCTACAATTCAAATTAGCTACAGCATTCTCGCTCGCTGGTTAGCTAATGAGGGAACTCACATTAGGTAATGTGATTTGAAGACACTGTATTTGTTAACAGGATCACGCCAGACAGTCCATGGGTTGAACTTGAACTTTAAAGAAGCTGCTGGCACTGAACAGACCCTCTGACTCGTCTGGTGTGGTGCGCGAAACCCCCACATTTATTCTGAATGTTTTAGGAGTCATTTGGTGGGTTTCTTCTTAATCCCAAGAAATTTCACGTAACCCACTGCTAGCTTGGTATAGCACCCTAAGTTTGAATGTGGAGTTTGTATATGTTAGCATTTATTGGTAGATATCAGAAACGAAGGTCACCATATTATCTCTATTCATGATGGCGCCGCAAATCGCAGCCAGGACGCTGAGCTCCACGATTCTTCTATTGTTTTTGTTACAGATTTGGCAAACTATCTAGTGCACATTTGTGTTTGCGCTCCGGAGAGCGTAACAGGTTTCCATTTACATTTTTACAGCGTTCAGCAATGTAGCTAATCACATACATACCTGTTGATTTATTGAACGCAATGACCAATCAGAGGCATTAAAGTTAGACCCCATTCAACGCTTAAAACGCTGGAATTTTTGTCCAGTGCTCAGTTCTGCAAGCTCAAGAACCATCTTATTATCTCTCTCTCTCTCTCTCTCTCTCTCATTCATTCCCTCTTCACTCGTTTGAGAGAGCTTACTTTCTCTCTCTCTCTCGCACTCTCTGGCTGCTATATGTTTAATTGGACATATGTAATGCCCTATGCTATTACTCATGTCACAGAAATCAGATAAATTGATATTGTTTTGTCATTCTGCCTGTGATAATGTGCTTTTTTTTGTTGTTGTTGAGAAATTTAGTTGTTGCACCCTACTGAAGTATATATCTCTCACCAACTCCCACTTTGTCTCTAGTTTTCTCTCTTTTGCTTTTTCTTTTGCAAACACAAGTAACTAACTATAACCATTGCTCATTTTTGTTTTTATAACTATTGCTCATTTTTATGTTTTTTTTTTTTATTACTAAAAAATGACTGCATAGCAATGTGCTATAAAACACCCAGAACTCCCTAGCAACCATCTAATAGCATAGCCACATTCTGAAAGCCACTTCAACACTTGAACTGCATAGCAACACCTTAGCAGTGTAGTAAATACTGCTTTAAACACTCAGAAAGTGCATCGCATCACATTGCAATGCCTTGGCAACCACTCAGAACACCCTAGCAACAGACTAGTAGCCACAATGTAATTTTCTATAAACCACTCCAAACCTAGCAACTGCATAGCAACACCCAAAACACCACCTGGCAACTGCATCGCAACAGCCTGGGCATTAAATAAAAGGCTTGTTTAATAAATGGGTTTTATCAGTCATTTATTGGCAATTAATGTTACACCCTAGCAACCACCAATTTTCTCTCTTTCTTTTTCTTTCTTTCTTTTTTCTCATTCTCTTTTAACACTTTTTTTTCTTTTTCTGTTTCTCTTCTTTTTTTCAGCCTTTCTTTTTTCTTTCTCTTTTATTAGTGTTCCTCTTTCTTTTATTTATTTATATTTCTTTCTTTTTTCGCTTTTTTTTTCACTCTTTTTTCCTTTTTTGTTGGCTTCTTTCTTTTTTCTCACTTTTTCTTTTATCACTCTCTTCTTTGTATTTTTTTTATTGGCCTCTTTCTTTCTTCCTGTTACTTCTCTTTCTTTTTTCTCATTCTTTTGTAACACTTCTTTTTTCTTTATTTCTATTTATTTCTTTTCTTTTTTCAGCCTCTTTCTTTTTATCAGTGTTCCTCTATTTATATTTCTCTTTCTTTCTTCTCACTTTCTTTTCTCACTCTTTTTTATCAGCCTCTCTTTCTTTCTTTCAGTAGGTGTAGGCGAAGATAGCGAGTGTGATGACTTGGAAGTGTTTCACTGTTGTTGTTTACTCATTCATTAATTAGCTTTTGTTTATTGTTGTGTATTTTACTTTTAATTGCCTTGCCATTAATTAAATATGCAAATTAATATGCCACTGCCCTCATAGCCAGCTCTGAGTTTAATGGAAGAGGAAAGTTTAAATGAAACATGACAGAAAAAGGCATTTTTGATTCTGGTGAGGGAGACAGAGGTTTGATGAACAGCGGCTGAGCGATCGGTTGCCAACAGTCACCAAGAAGAACATTAAAGGATTGTAAGGATGCATTTCAGTGCCACACACACACACAACATAGAGAGCAGTTTCCTGTTATCTACAGGCAGACAGTCATTTGTGAAAATACACACATATCTAAATGGAAGGAAACACACTTTCAAGACTGAGTCATTTATTTGCTTTAAATGTTTGACAATGTCTGTCTGTGATTGACAGGTGGTTGCCGACACCAACATCAGTGCCATAGCCAGTCAGGTGGAGAGTCTGTCCAGTAGCTCCACCCCAAGCACCAATCCAGAGGTCCGGCCGGTGGAACCAGAGTGAGTGACATCACCGTGGCAACAAGACTGTTTGAGTGTCCTGTTTGACCTTAAACATTCCGTTACAGTAGTCTCAGATGATCATGTGATTTTGTTCTGTGTGTGTGTGTGTGTGTGTGTGTGTGTGTGTGATACTGACAGGACGCCCAAGCCAAAGACCATCACTCTGGAGAAGGGCTCAGAGGGGCTGGGCTTCAGCATCGTGGGCGGCTTTGGGAGTCCACATGGAGATCTTCCTATCTACGTCAAAACCATGTTCAGCAAGGTAATTCCTGTAGGATCACATTTGCAGATTAAATTGAACTAAACACACTTGGGCTGCATTTACACTGGCACAAAAATCAGATTTTTTGCTCACAGATTGGAATTAGTTGCACACGTGTAAACACAAATCCACACAAGATCCGATTTTTTCACATCCGATCTGAGCCACTTCCAAATGTGGATTTTAATCGGATACATATCCGATATCTGGACATCCGACCTACGTCTAAACACACATATCCGAATCTACACAGAACTCCCAATGCGAGGGCGACACGTTTGCCCATAAAGATAAATAAATAATTTCTTTCTTTCTTTTTTTTTATTTTATTGCTTTATTTCTTTCTCTCATCAGTCTTTTTCTTTCTCAAACACTCTTTTTCATTTCAATTAAGTTTTTATTTTTTCAAGGATTGTCTTAAATTTGCTGAATAGAATGTTTGAATATCTGTATTGTTTTTTCGTTCAATTTTGAATATATACATGTACATGTAAATGTATTTATTTTTATGTTTATTGTAGCAATAAATATAATGTTTATAATGTGTGGAATATTGTAATTTATAATATTATTTTATATTGATTAAACAGTTACTCTCTCTATAGATAGATAGTGTTTTTATTGCTAACTAAAACTATTAAAAACTATTTTTGTCAATTGAAAACAACTGAAATAAAACAATATAAATATTACATTCAAAAAACTTAAAAAACAAATGAAAATTATAAAATGTTTCATTGTCGACTAGCTGAAATAATGTTTAAGTTGAAGTACTAAATTTGCTAAAACTGAGGTAAAAAAATTAATAAATATAAATAATAAAAAAATAATAACACATAACCAAATTACTAAAACTTCAATTCAACTGAAAACTTATAGAAATATATATATATATAAAGGCTGTTTTAAAATAATATTAAATCAAATAACAGTAAATAGCACAAAAATAACACTGATATGTAGTAACACTTTAAGCTATTTAAATTAATATTACTTTTTTATAACAGGCTGTTAAAATCAAAACATTTCAGACACTTACTTATTTTTGCTTAAATGTTCAGTACCCTGCATATACATACATATGTACAATATGAAAAGGTGGATGTGTAAAACAGATAAGAAATGTATATTCCTACAGCATGTTGCTATGTGCAGACTGTACTCTGTTCATGCTCTGGCCACCAGGTAGCAGCATAGAGCTCTGTTTCACAGGAACATAACCAGCAATAACTCTTGTCAAACACTTCATATTCACCTAGAAACAACACATGATTTGTGTTTATGTGATATGATTCTTCTGATGACTCTTCCAACCCCACTGGCAGTCCATGAATGTCCTTCACGGACATATTGTTCAAATAAAACATATTTGAAAATATGAAAGTAATATATCATTTAAATATCATTTATATATAATCATATTTATATGTAATAATTCAGAATATTCAATATTATGTATATACATATAATTTAAATACTACATAAGGATATTTCTCAAATTTGTTACATTTACTGATCTGCATTATGATCAATTGGTCACATTTAATTCTGTGAATTAATAAATAATATTGTCCTCTTCTTACCTACAGGGAGCAGCGGCGGTGGACGGGCGTCTGAAACGCGGTGACCAGCTGCTATCGGTCAATGGAGAGAGTCTGGAGGGCGTCACACACGAGCAGGCCGTGGCCATACTGAAGAAGCAGCGGGGAAGCGTCACGCTGTCCGTCCTCTCCTAACAAACACACTAAGGACTACATCCACTGAAAAACACACACTTTGCATCAGCAGCGGCCATTATTCGGCCAGCTTACTTCCTGATATGGAGACCGTTTGCACTCGATCGTTTAAACTCTGCACTCTTACTGTTTGTGCACCTGGTATCGAAATCAATCCGAAAAATACTCATAAAGGGAAATTACTGTATCGTCTTTGTCTTAGTCACAGACATGTAGCCTCTCCACTGGTGACGGTGAGCAGGTGAATAATGGAGCAATATTAGAGAAGGTTATTTTGATGAAATGAGTGCTGGTAACTCAAGACCAGGAGGAAAAATTAAAGTAGCGGATGCACAACACACACTAACACGCAATTTGTTTGTAATTATCTTTTCAGTCCATATACAATAACTTATAATGTGGTTATCTTGATCTTTTAATTTAAAACAATATGTACATGACCTACTGACAAACCAACCCTATTTACAAGAAATCAGATTAATTGTATGTAGTAGATGAATTCATGGATGAGCATTAATAAGGGATGACAGATGTGCCTTGGAATGGGCAGATCAGATCGTAATGGGATGTTTTGTTTAGCTAGTATTAGATATAAGGATCATTTCAATCAGGTTCTTTACATTGCAGGGTAGCTTTGTGAATATTTCAAGAAATAGTTCATCAAATGATGAAAAAAAACATCCCTGATGTTGCTTCAAACCTGTGTGTTACTCTTTCTTCTGTGGAGCTTAAAATGAGATATTTTGCAAAATGTTCACGCTGCTCTCTTCCATACAATCAAAGTGGATGGGGAGTGGAGTTTTTGTGATTCAGAAATGCCAACAATATCCATAAAATATCACTAAATTGTTCATATGACTCATGCACTACATTTTATGAAGTTGTACAATAGTTTGGCGTGACGGATGAACCGAACTTTGTCGATTTTCACTTGCAATCTTTCCTGCAAGTAAAATTTCAGACAATTCTTCACACAAAGCTACTAATGTTAGTCATTTTTCATGTAAAATTTTATGTGGAACATAGAATTTGATGTTTTGCTGAATATTCACACTACTCTTTTTCCATAAAATAAAAATGGAGACTGGCATTTTAGAAATTCAGAAATGACATGACATAAAAGTATTACAAGTTGTTCATATGAATTGTGTATGATAATTTTGCATGAGGAATGATTTTAAGTGTTTTGTCACTTAAAATCTTCCCTGAAATAAACATTTCTGACAATTTTTCATACAAAGCTATTATTGTAAGTCGTTTTCACTTTAAAATCTTTCTCCGAAATTAACATTTCATACAATTCTTTACACAGGGCTGTTATTTTCCTTCAGGAGTCTTAAAAAGTCCCAGTCCCCATTCACTTTCTTTGTATGCAAAAGAGCAGCCTTAGCATTCTGTTCTTAGCAAAATATCTCCTTTTAGGTTCCACAGAAGAAAGTTAAGTCATATGGGTTTGGAATGACATATATGATGACAATTTTAATTTTTGGGAGAACTATTCCACTCTATTATGTTTCAATGGTGTATTGAGAAATGCATAAATGCATAACATCACAGAAATGCATAACATATATATATTCCGATTTTACATTTTTGTAATTCCATTTGTAATTAATTTGCACACGTCTATCATTTCATTGTAAATATGTAATTTATTTCCTTTTTTAGGGTGTTTTTGCATCGCCTTTGTCTTTATGAAAATGTCTCGCACATCCTAGTTTGACACTGTGTGTGTCTGTGTGTCACAATATGAGGATATCCTGTGTCAGTCTCTCTCCTAGAGGAAGTGTAGCAGGCTCTTCAGAGACTATCAGGGCTCTCCAGGTTGTAGACAGCGTGTGGAAGCCTTGTCCAGACCGTCTCTTCCACTAGGATTTCGTAAGCACATCCTCATATGATGCCTCTTGAATTTTTGTGCCATGTGGACAGTGTTCTGAACTGTCCAGCGCTACGTCCCTTTAAAAAGATTGCCTGTATCTCCTATGCCTGTCTTCCCCTTTCTCCTTAAAGAAATGCAACGCCCCAATCTGCTACCTTCAGCTAGATCTTTACATTTGGGCTGTGAACCACAAAAACCGGCTTGAATCATGTCAAATCTTCAACTCGCCCTCAGATGACTCGAGTAGTAACAGCCTTTTATCAGCCATTTTTCTGTCAGTGTAAAGTCCAAAGAAACCATTTAGTTAAATTCATACATTAGGTACAGATCTAAGCCTGAAATAAAGCTGATTTATTAACATTTGCAAAACAAACAAGTGGTCATTATGGTCTTTTGACTTTATTTTGGACAAGTATAGAATTTATCTAAAGTGTCAACAAATAAAGTTCTTTTCATTTTAAACATTTTTTGACTTCTACATTTTTAATGATTTTATTTTAAGCTTTATTTTAATGTTTTAAAGCACAAGAAACATTCACAACACCTATTTCTGCACTTTTTGACATGCACTACCATTTAAATGATTAGTGACCGTAAGATATTTTTTTAAGAAAATAATTTTGTTCAGCAAGGATGCATTACATTTAATGGAAAGTGTAAGACATAATGTTGCGAAAGATTCATATTTCAAATAAATGCTGTTCTTTTGAACTTTAGTCATCAGAAATATTTCCACAAAAATATTAAGCAGCACAGCTGTTTTTCAACATTAAAAATAAATGTTTCTTGGACAACAAATCAGAAAGATCAAGTGACCGTAATGGCTGCTGAAAATTTAGCTTTGAATCACAGGGAAAAAATACATTTAAAATATATATTAAAATAGATAATTATTTTAAATTATAATAATATTTCACAATATTAGTGTTTTCACTGTATTTGATCAAATAAATGCAGCCTTTGAGAGCGTAAAAGACTCAAAAACATTAAAAATCCTATATGATCCAAGACTTGAATGGTAGAGGATATTCTTTTATGAATATTATTAATTATTATTCAAAGAAGTTTGCACAACAAAAATCAGTGAGATACTGAATGTCTGATATTACACTAACATGTTCACAAATTGTTACGACAACGTCCTCTAGAATTAACTGCGGTTAATGTAGTCGATTAAAAAAACCTGCAAAATTCACTGCTAACCTTTGGTACAAGATGTCCGCTATTAAAATGATAACTTATTACAATAAAAAGTAAGATTAACATGGCGTGCTGACTCAGCTGATTGTGGACGTTTTCTTGAGATTACATCTCGGTCACTTTTTCATCGGTTTGGTGAACTCTCGCGTTCTCATATGCTTTAGGGTCTTCGCTGCTCCTGAAAAACAATGGTCTCAACTCCAGAGATTAATACATACATTTTAATGGGAATATTCACTCTTTTTCATTCATTTTAATCATTGACATTTAAATTTTATCCTTTTAAACTTTTAATCTGAGAATAATTTCAAGAACATCATGTTAAACAAAGCATCAGATGAGGCGTTTATTCAGACTGAACATGATTTCAGGCCATGTCAATATTTCTCATGCAGTTTCATTAATGATAGTGTATCTTTTTACAGGCTTGGATCACTCTAAGCTTTATAACGGCTGTATTATTGAGGTATTATTTCTATTATTAGAATCACGGGTTGATCCATTAGTCGTGGCGTATTCAGTGGGCACTGCTTCTGGTTTGCTTTAGTCAACAAAGACGGATTCAAATGTTTACACAGACCAGCTTTCGGAAACTAGTTGCTAATTAAAATAAGTGTATTACATGAACTATAAAGACAGATAAACATGGTTTGTGAGACTTTATAGTAACCTACATTTAGACATGTAGGCTATTAGGCTACTGATTAGAACATTAAGGAATGGGAATTATGCATTTCACTAATAAAGAAAAATGAAAATTCTGGAATAGCTATTAGGCCTACTCATTCATGACTGACTTTCTTTAGCGACACACAAAAATATATACTTTGGAAGAATATTTTGGACCCCAATGACTTGTAAGTTCTTCAACATTATTTTGTGTTGTTGTGCGAAAGAAAGACATACCGGTTTGGAACGACAAGAGGGTGAGTATCTATTCTAAATTTTGACAAATTTTCATTTTTAGTTCAACTTTGTCTCTTCAATGTTACAATTGCTACTGGTTTTAGTATGGTGTTGAAACTGAAGCAGATAATTACCTTGGAGTTTCACACCAGGCTTTGTTTACAAGGAAGACAACGAAGACGAGAAAGAGGAACACGGAAACAGATTTCTGAGCCAAGTGGATTTTAAATGCAGCTTCCAAAAGACAAAAAAATAGCCGAATATTATTATTTTATATTTGATACAATCACACCGGTGTGATTAGAACTTTCAGTGCTGCACATCACCAGCTGCTAAATTCAGATCTGCGTTCGCGCTTTGGCTGGCGCTGAGTCAGAGACTGAGGCGTTTGTACAGCGCTGCATTATAACCAATCACACACGATTCTGTTGAGCTTATGAATGCAATGGCCAATCAGATACGTTTAGATGAGTCATCGCTGAAACGCGGTGTTTTGTTCACTTGCTCGCTTACTGAATTATACACAACAAAGTGCATATGTGCGTAAGAATGTTAGTAAGATATTCATTTCACAGTGTAAACTGCTTCAGTGATTTAAATGGGAGTTTTTGAGAGTGCCTGAACTCTGGCTAGACTGAAGTGAAAATGTTCTTTGATAATGTAAATGTTATTTGCTCTGTAAAATTAAAATGTTAAATTTAACATTTAACATGTTAAAATTAAATTCACATGAAATACAGACATAAAGTCAGTCGTATTAAAAGTATTTTATGGCATGACACCCATATCTGGTACTTAAGTAAAAAGTCGGGTTTTTATGTATAGTTAATAGATTACACTACTTTACCCATCACCCATTATAGATCAATCTGGTGCAAAACGCATTTACTTACACGTTTGAGAATCGAGGTATTTCTTGATATAGGTAACACGTTTGGAAATATTTCGAATAAAAAGGAAAGAAATAAAATCAAACATAAGCCTATATCAGTCATACAGTGCTATTGTGGCTGCTGTGTCACATGACAAGCGTGACGAGCCCCCATCCCACTCGTGCCCCCTCAAAAATCAATGTGCACTACTCAAATAAAGACCTGTATCCTGTCTCTACCCAGGAAACGGTTATCTGAATTTCCATAGAAGAAAAAGACAACACCCAGTGGTCTGTGCAAGTCGAGTCCATCATTTACCCGACGCATGATATTCAGCTATCGCAAAGGAATAACAGAGATGTGACGGGTGGGACTGATCTGATTACATCTGATTCAGCTGTTATCCCAGTGATATCTGATATCAGCTATATATATTAATTTCTCTCATAAATACTGTTTTGCTCCCAATACGACGGTGGAGTTGTTAATCCAGTGGAGGAAGTCCTATCTCCGTACAGGTTTAAGAAGTGAAGACGCTGCATAAGACGCGAGTCTTTAGATTTCAGCGATAAAGGAATTTGTCTGGTTAGCATTGCATGGTTTTAAATTAGGAATAGATCACTGAAGTACCACTTGCTGCTGTGGAAGTTACAGTTTAGCTAGAGTAAAACAAGGGGACGGTCTATTATTGACGCCGATTCGTGTTTGAGTTCAAGTTCAAACAATCATTCAACAACTTGAAGTTTTAGGTTAGTCAAGCGAACCTTTAAAGGAATAGTTCACACAAAAATGAACGTTCGGTGAAAATTGACTCACCCTCAGCAGTCAGCACATCCAAGATGTGGATGCGTTTGTTCCTTCATCAGATCAGATTTGGAGAAATTCTCTTGCTCACCAAAGCATCCTCTGCAGTGAATGGGTGCCGTCAGAATGAGAGTCAAAACAGCTGATAAAAACATCACAGTAATCCACACCACTCCAGTCCATTAGTTAACATCTTGTGAAATGAAAAGCTGTGTGTTTAAGAAACAACTCCATCAAGGCCTGAATTTCAAGGCATAAACCCAACTGTTGCTTGTGGCCAAAATACCAGTTCATAATCTATAATAACGCTTCCTCCAGTGAAAAAGTCCATCCCCTGTTGTCCTCTCACATCAAAATCCACCAACATATTTGTTTAGAACAGTTTGGACAGTTTTTGCTTGTAAATGGCACTTGAACTGTATATTTCTCTCCTGGTTCAGATGACACTGCTTTTTCACTGGAGGTCAAAATGTCTTATTGGTGGATATGTTTCTTACAAACATGCAGCATTTCAATTGACACGACATTGATGGACTGGAGTGGTGTGAATTACTTGTGGAATTCTGTGATGTTTTTATCAGCTGTTTGGACTCTCATTCTGACGGCACCCATTCACTGCAGAGGATCCATTGGTGAGCAAGTGATGTAATGCTGAATTTCTCCAAATCTGCTCCGATGAAGAACAGATTGGATGGCCCGACGGTTGGGACTTTTTCAGCAAATGTTATTTTTTGGGGTAAACTACTCCTTTAACAGCTCGCCTGACTAACCTACAACAACTTAAAGTTGAAGAATGACAAGTTTGTTTGAACTTGAGGGCATTGCTGTCCATCTTTGTCCTCTCTTATTAAACCACAAGAGATGAGTGCACATGAGAGAGCGCTCTTGAAGAGTG